AGTCAACAGTGTCCTTTCAGTCAGGTCTGACACAACATGTGACTTCTGGCTCACAAACATCTTTCAAAACCTTATAATAAATGTGCATACGATGAAATTTATGGGTAAGGGATGGAGGAGGAAGTTGAGAGACTGCAAACCCAGAACTAATGCACTCCATACTGCAATTAACAATTAAACAAATGTTTATTTTTCAACCTTCTATTAGAAATAAGTAAAACAAATAGCCTAAATGTGTACTTAATTACATGTGTGACAATATCATGCATGTAATTGTAAGTGGACCAGATCACTGAAGTCCAGCAATCACTAGTCGGGCCTGGCTCTCACTTGTCAGAGAGAGAAGAGTCTCTCAATTTCACTATTGAAGATTAAGGTCCTTGGTCCAGTGGAGATATTCATGGAGATGGGTGCAGACATCCCTTTTCCTTGGTACTTGAATAGTCTTGTTTATAGGAGTATATCACAAATAAATTCCAAAATCAACAGTCCTCTAGTACAGAGTGCCAAAGGTCCAGTAAGGTAAGTGCCAGTGGATGGCTACAATGGGAAGACAAATTGATGAGCTTTACCCCCATGTCCTCTCATCTCTCCTTTTATTTGAGGCTGTGCTCCCTCCATTCTTATGCCCAAATTTGGCAAACTGGTGCAAGGAACTGGGTGATGATCCAATCCCTGATTTTAGGCAAGGTTTCCTTTGATGCGTAGGTTTTGCCAGATGTGTCACTTAGGAAGGAAATGTTATCAGAGGTACAGTAAGACCTTGTTTAGTGTTTCCTCAATTAATGATGATTTGATATAATGCATTCTGCTCAAAGCCTAAAAAAATAGCTCAAAATTTACGCTGATTCAAATTATCGCGGCATTTCATTGATTTGTATATAATATGATTATTCCTGAACGTGAACTAATCAGAAAAAGGTGACAATTCATCATAGTACTGTACTTCACGTAAATCTATGTTTGTTTGGTGCAATTTTGGAAAAAATATATTATTATTGCCCATGAGCTCCACAGGCAATATCAACTTTGCTTGGCAATAATTTACTGATAAATGCATGGAGTGTGAAAGAAGGTATGGCTGGAAGTATCCAAGGATTCTCAACGAGAACCTATCATTGACAAAATTGTCAACCTAATTGACACAGGACTAGAAGATGTAGATAAGCAGGATATTGAACAGTTACTGCAAGTTTCTGGTGAGAGCCTTACCAACGACAACCTTCAAGAACTGGCAGAACAAGGAATACATGTAGAACTGAAAAATAGTGATTCTGAAAATAAAGAACCCAAAGAATTTACTACAGATTTCCTTAGTAAAAGTTAGGTAATAATAACCAAAATCATTGATCAAACTGTAGCAAATGATCCAATTTTGAAATAAGTGCAAAAGCAAGACAAGGCGTTTTGGATGCAATCTCCTACTACTGACATTTGCTTAACAAAAGAAAGTGACAATGACACTAGACTACTTCATTGCAAAAAATCAAGAGTTTCAGAAGAGCCAGAACTTTCATCACAAAAATAAACTTTATATTTCTGTGTGCATATGTTTGTGTGTTATGTAACATATATTATTTGTTTTCTGAAATATATTATTACGCAAGATAATATAAAAATAACATAAAATTAAAGTAAAATTTATTTACTTTTGGTCACATGTTCCCCTTTCCCTATTTACTATGTTTTAAAATAACCTTGTTTAATGTCATTTCATTTAGTGCTTTGTCATCTAGGAACACATCTTAAGCACTAAAATATGTCTTACTGTGTATATTGCAAACTTCCTCTATTGAATTTGTCATCTCTGGCTTAAATAATTTTCCGTCTTTGAACAAATATTAAATAATTAAATCATCTAATTTACAAGGTTCTCACACTAATAATCTAGTGTGTTCAAGATGAGTCCAGAAGTTACAGTCTCCAATGGTTTGGAGATGTATGAGCACAGAAGAAGGATTAGAATATAGGCTTCTGAGTTCATAGCACTATTGATGAGATTTGCATTTCCTCAATGGTGCTATGAACTCTGAAGCCTATACTCTAATCCTTCTGCAACATCAATGCAATTCAAGCATGTATTTTCTAGCATAACTCCTGTCTGCAGAATGCTAGGAAAACCAAAACCTGTCTGTAGTCTAATTATATAGGTGTACTCCCCTGGCCAGCACAAAGCCCATCCTGTCTCCAATAGATGTATGGAGATTTTTGAAAAAATGAGTCAATCCTGTCCTCATATTAGAACAATTACATCTATTAAGCAAAGAATGAAAATTTTTTTCTCATTCTTTGCTTAATACTTACTGTTACACCATCCATGCTTAATACCTACTGTCGCTGCACAAGTTTGTATCATCCATGCCTCAATGTCTTGCAACTCTTATAAAGCAAAAAGGTGATGCTATTCCATTGTGATTACAGAATCTTAACACATGGCACAAAGTTCAAAGAAACTTGTTGCAAATGCTCTACAGATTAGAAATTATATAATAAAATACNTGAGTCAATCCTGTCCTCATATTAGAACAATTACATATTTATTAAGCAAAGAATGAGAATTTTTTCTCATTCTTTGCTTAATACTTACTGTTACACCATCCATGCTTAATACCTACTGTTGCTGTACAAGTTTGTATCGTCCATGCCTCAATGTCTTGCAACTCTTATAAAGCAAAAAGGTGATGCTATTCCATTGTGATTACAATCTTAACACATGGCACAAATTTCAAAGAAACTTGTTGCAAATGCTCTACAGATTAGAAATTACATATTTTTCCAAAATCTGAGCTTTTAATATATTTGTATGATACTTATTTGTTAAAATACATTACGTTTTGTCAGAAAAACAAACATCTGTACATTTTATGAAGTATTTTAAGTAAATAGCCTTGTACAGCAGAAATGTTATTGATAATCTTATTATATGGCATAATAGATCATATATCAGGGATTTCTTGCATTCCATTAATTCAAATCTATTTTGGCCTGGAATTGTGTATTGGACCGGAAAGCATCTATTTCCTAGAGATTGATTTCTCCACAATTGATGGTACTGTCTCAGCACTGATATACAGAAAGCCCATATATAATCCATTGTTATTCCAGCTGTATCAAGAGATCCATGCTCATATAAACTGACTACTTGCATAAGCTGTGCAAATCCAAGGAAAAACCTTTCATAAGTGAATCATGCAAGTGCAGATGTTTAGCTTGATCCAGAACTCATCTGAAGTGAACAAATNAGCCTTGTACAGCAGAAATGTTATTGATAATCTTATTATATGGCATAATAGATCATATATCAGGAATTTCTTGCATTCCATTAATTCAAATCTATTTTGGCCTGCAATTGTGTGTTGGACCGGAAAGCGCCTTGTCTGCCTATTTCCTAGACATTGATTTCTCCACAATTGATGGTACTGTCTCAGCATTGATATACAGAAAGCCCGTATATAATCCATTGTTATTCCAGCTGTATCAAGAGATCCATGCTCATATAAACTGACTACTTGCAGATCATTTATGTGAGCATGGATGCAAGTGTATGGTCAAAAGGACATATACACTTATTTACAACAGTAAAGACAGAATAGTCAAACTAAATTACATCAAAAAAAGATGCTTTAAAACAACACTTTAGAATGCTTTAAGAGATGCTATCCTCCAAGGGACTTTCAGAGTTCACTGTTCCAAATTAATGTTCTTATTTAAAGCATTTCTGTAACCTGATGTTAGTTGCTTAAGGCAATCAAAAACATTTGTTATCATTAAGTTTGTTTTTGAACTGGAGTTTTGGTGTTTAGTGGATGTTTTATATTATAATTCAGTTTGTAAGCTGTTTTATTGACTATTATAATGTATGAAATATCTAGTATCACAATATAATGATATTGTGATACTAGGTCAAACTATCCATAAAAATCTGAGGATCTAGCCAAGATTTAAATCCAGATCTCTCATGCTCTTATTCCCATCAAATGGTAAATAAGTAGAAATTAACCAACAGTATTTATTACCATTCACTTCATTTTTAACAAGTGAACACTTATCAGTTAACTTTTAACCCTATCTTTCAATCCTTTGTTGAAAGCATCAGTGTGGCTTATTGACAGTACTACTACTAGGACAGCCGAGACAATGCATTTTTTTAAAACTCTTTCCACCCCTCTGGGAACCAAGATGGTCTTTTTAGCAAGCCCAAAATGGGTCAGCTGAGTGGTGAGGGATTGGGCCCAACTTATCTAGACAGATAACCCCGGAAAAATTTGAAAGGTTTTTCAATCCTCGTGGATTCAATCCCTAGTCTCCAGAGCATAGGCTGTCACCTTTACCATTGTCATTCAGCCATCAGACAGTACATTAATAATCCATAGTGGAATTTATTTAATGATTCCATATATCTTTTAACACTTTCTCTGCCACCACCGAAAGAAAATGTTGCATGATACAGAAATAAAATCAAATTACAAAGTTGTAGAGCATGACCAATTTAAATTAATACAAAAAGATCCAGAGTATGTGAAAAGTGCAAAGCGAGAAATGTTAATGTGCATGTCAACATGTCAAGCACAGACAGTAAAATGTATGTTTCCCATACGTTCAGTCATTTCTCATGTTTATATATATATAATGTGTATTTCTCATTTTCCTGTCTTTGGACTGCACTCCTCGTTGTGTGTTGTATATTGTGCATTGCTCATATATCAGTGTGTAAGGACTTTATTAAGCACCCTGTATAATGTAATCTGTTGTAAAAAAAATTAAATGTTACAATGTTTACAATATGAGTGAATACAAAATGTCACAAGGCCAAGCATGAAAAGTTTTAAAAACAATTTTATTTTATTTTAAAAAATATGAAAAGTTCTCTTATATTTAATTGGATCCAAAATTAAAACACATTTTTAATTAATTTTCAAAAGAAAGAAAAGTATTTTAGATTGAAATAATAATAATAATAAATTATTAAAAGTTAACAGAAATAAGGAAATTACAGAATATTTTCAATGACATTTTACTTTGTCACAGAAGAAAAATAAATGATGAGAAAGTATTTGGCGAAACTTTAATAAAATATTTTTAAAGTTTACATGGTAAACAACTAACAGAACAATTATAATAATGTGACTTGTGCTATTGTTTGTTTTGAGCCGCTTCTTTTCTGGCAGCATCTTGAAGCAATTGTGTGTCTACTTCATCTGCTGGTAATTGAACATATCTAATGACCGAACCACGGATGAAACAATTCTTCACAGATAACTAAATGATTAAAATTTTACGTAAAAGAAGGAAATTATTTCTTAAAAACTTAAAAAATTCATCTTATGAGGAAAAATGGAAATTAATTAATTAATTAGTTTTTCAAAATTTACTTACCATATGAGGATATTTCTCTGGATCTGTTACGCTAATATCTGTTAATTTAATGTTTAAGTATTGATCCACAGAATGTAGAGTTCCACATATACTATAATTTAAGAAAAAATTTTGAATTTAATATGACATTTATTACAGATTGATGATATATAATTGGTAAATAAAATATTTGCATGCCCTGAATTTTGTTGTCTGTAACGTACAGTCGACCCCCCTATAACATTGTTGATTATTCCATTTTATATGAATTCCATGTTGTACGAGTCACTTAGATTTTACAAATATGTGTGCCGGGCTGTGAACAGCTCACATATTTGTAAAATCTAAGTGACTCATATAAAACGAAATAATCAACAGTGTTATAGGGGGTCAACTGTATATGTCAAACTTTAGAAGTTTATTGTGAGGACACAGTTTGAGCTACTGACAAGTGCATATGCTACAGCTTTGATACACTCGCATATCATTGACTATTTGCATGCTGCCACATTACGAAATAATCATACACACTTTCCTGACTGCTGGATAGATTGGGTTCATCTCACTGACTAAAACTGTGTTTGCTTACCTTTTGATGCAGGAACTGCATCTGTAAGTTTCACTCTGTTTTAGAAATAAATTTCTAAAACTTGACATGGACTTTACAGACATCTTGTACAGTACAATTGTAAATGACAAAATGTTTAAACTCTTACATTATTATTTTTTTTAAGTACGACAAATAATATAATTTTTATCTCAAAAGTTTCATAAACAATATGAAGAAAATATAAAAACTATAAACAAAAAAGTCCTTAATATTTTGTATGAAATTATTTTCTTTCAATCATTCACAACCTTTTTGGCACGGATAAAACTAAATTCACAGTAGATTTTTGTTTGATTTTCCCGATTCTTTCGTCAAATATTTCTCAAGATCATTTTTTGTTAGAAATCTTGTATTTTCTTATGGTTAGATAAAAAATGTACCAAATTCTCAATAGACTGACATCTAGACTTTAATGTGACAATCTTGGCAGTAGGTTTAGGATTGTTGTACAGCTGAAAAATGAAATTGTTCTCTCATCCTATTTTTCTTGCACTTTTCATTAAATTATGATACATTTCCAGTATTCTTTTCATTTGTTTAAACTATATCAAAACCTGGGCATTTACCCATTCTGCTATATTCATTTGAAAATTGTTTTACATGCTTCTTTGCTTTTATATTTTCCTTTCCTGATTAATTTTTCTTACTGTTTCTACACATACCTTTTTCCGGATGTTGAAACGTCACTCGCTAGTATCAAAGTGCTAATTTTAGGATTTTTCCTTCACTTCTTGATCATCTAATATTTTTGACAGCATATTCTCAACTCGTTTTGGTTTTATTTCTTTACAATAGAACAAACTTTCAGTTCAAATTGAGGAATATTGCCGAACAGTAATTAAGTTTAAATATTAAAAATCAAAGATGCAGTCCATTGAAACAGAAATCACTATTTATTCAATTTTGGAGTTCTGGAATACATTTTTGATGACCCACCTTTCCTTGTAGGCTACTCAGCTGTCAAAATTAAAAACATCTGTTTAAAAAAAAAGAAATAATAATCCAATTAAAAACAAAAGTTTTAAAATAAAAACTGGAGATGCCGCAGACATCTTCCATCTGCCACATTTGGCAGACTCAACGATTCCAAAGCCATTGAGTATTTTTCTGCTGAACAGAATCACCATTTAGGAACACGTTCGGTATTTTGATGTCACATTTAGTCTTTCATTTATGCTACCCGAAACTGACCGATGACGGCTGCTTTCTGTTCCAAAGAATATGTCACTTGTTGTTCACAGACATAAGCTACCGATTGAAATACCTTTGCTCGATTACAACCGTCGATTTGGCCAAATTGACAGTTCTAACCAGCAAAGTTTTACCCAGCCATTTTCGATCCTTTAAACTCGGGGACCGTAGATCTTATACTGGCGCTTGCTTCTAGTGGATATATGTGTTTATTGGGGCACACTTCATGACACTTCCCACGTAAGACTTAAATATTCATAAATTTCAGAAAATTACCAGTAGAAGTTACTTTTAGGTCAATATCTATATACTTATTCACGTGCAATTTAACTAAAAGTAACACCTACTAGATTATCAAGTATCAAAGTCTAGAATAAGTTTTTCTTGATGAATATTTCAGAAATTTATAAAAATTTAAGCTTAAAATGTATAATTATAAAGTAAAATCTTAATAATTTGAACAAAATTCATAAATGAAACTGAAATAGACACATAAAATGAACCAACCTGAGGTCATTCTTGAGTTCAACTACAACATCTTTACCAACTAAAGACTTGAAAAAAGAATAGAAGAGCTGGAATAAAAATTCGATAATATTAATTAACGAACGATTCTTTCATTAAAAAATAATAATAAATGTTAATAAAACGTGCCATTTTTCTTGCTTTCGACAGTCAAAGATACACGCGCTCATTCTCTATAACCAATAAGCCTTTTTTCTACGAAATTTTTAACTAAATAAAATATTCCGTTCATATTATATTATTAATAACTATAACATCGATTAAATAAATAAAATAATTAAAAATAATTTAAATATTTAATATTTAACTATTCGGGTTAGGTTCGATTATAAAAGTTTAAATGCGTTTCGGTGCGTTCGGTTATTATACTCCATCGACGGGATTATTATACCGATACGGTTTAACGGAATTTATTAAGTAATACGAATTAAAACTTCGCGCAGATGAAAGAAAAAAAAATTTAAATACGTTTTTTAAACTTTATATAATATTCAAGAACAAATTTATTTTTATATAATTACTTTTAACGGGTTATATTTAGAATTTGTGATAATTCGATTCGTTTAGTCGTATCGTAATTTTTTCGGAGTGACGAGCTGAATCGGTGTTTGTAGCTGTCGATGAATTAGCAGTTTATACTGTTGCAAGATGATGTCTGTACTTTCTCAGCAAAGCTTTACGAATGAAACTATGCAACATCAGTTTTATCCTTACGATAATAATAGCGGGTAAGTAATGATTTATAATCTTAATGTTTAATAATGATGAAGATTAGACACGAAAAGCTTCGATTAACATTGGAGTAGAAGTGTCTTTTAGGTGTTTCGTGTGTAAATTGTATGTGATTAAATGAATTAAAAGTAACCTTTTACCAAAGAAACTTCTGACACGAAGATTGTATATAAATATCCATTATTTTCAATAGACACTTGAAAATTAAAGTCATTACTGTAGATTCTTATTAACATTCTGGTTTTATTGATATTACATAAGGATAAGAATTGAAATTTTGTATTAAGACCAGCAAATAATGCCCAGCATTTTCCAGGAACTGAGGAAGATGGCGAATGGTCCTTGTTATTAAGTAGGTATGTTTACCACGNGTGTGCACTAATGCAATAAATTCATGATTGGAATTAATTTTAAAATTAACAATAAAAATAACTTTTCACTTACAGACAGCCGCGTGAGTTTGTTTCAAGGTTAACCCATTTAGATGATACTTCTGCTAATTCCTTTTTTAAATTGAGGTGGAGACACCCTTTCACAGAAGGGCATGTCCTGCTTTCATTGTCAATATTATGGTCTGGTCAGTTGAATGAAATTTATTTGGTGGGGATAGTGGCTACGAATCATTCAGACACAAGGTATTCATTGCATATGTGTTGTGGTGTATTGAAAATATTTAATGTTTGACCATTGTAATGTTGAATCAAAAATCTCTCAGCACTGTTTATAGCATATATTCAAAGATAAAAATGATGTCTAAAGAATATTAGAATAGAATTATGGGAACTGAGCATTTTGTAATAGAAGTTGGAACATCGTCAATGGTGTCAAATTGTTGGTTTTGACACTGGACACTTGAAAATTGGAGTGTCCCATTTTTTGGTTGTTGGGGATGAAATGAGGGATCCTTGACCTGTACGTCTTGTGATGGCTGTGATTTCTGTTACACATTTATTGTCAAAAAGGCTTGTGTACACCCGAAAAGTAAACAAAAGAACTTGATAAATGTAGATAGATCTCATAACACTTCTTATTTTTATATAATGGTATGATATGATTAATAGTAAAACAATGAACATGAAAAAATATTACCGGCCTAGGTATAAAAGTTTAGTTTCGTCTAAGGAAAGTAAATTTGCTCTTTATAGTTGTATATGATAACATAAGAAGGTAACTGTAAGAGTATTATTATAAGAAACAGAGGAGAATAGTGATTATTACTATGTGGGCTTCACTTGTAGAACCCTACAGAAACGTGTTGAGTATATTTGACTCCATTAGTAGAAATTCACAACCAGGCACTGTGATTGTATGTATGGCATGATATTGGAGGTATTCAGATATTTGCGGATATATTTATTAAAGATGGGTAAATACAGTATGATCTCTGAATAGTGGACACCGTCGGGACCAAGAAGTTTGTCCATTATTCAGAGGTACTGTACCTGCTGGTGGCTATACTGTATCTTAATCTGGTCATCATTCTTCACTATATGATGACCAGGTTAAGATACTGGATTACTAAAACATCAAATTTGCATTAGGAATATGAATATACTGAAAAGTATACGTAGCATATATAATTAAAATATATATACACTATTATTTTTTCGGATGTAAAAATCTCATTTTAATTGAATCTCATTTGAATGTTGAGTTATGAAGGCGATTTGCCATATCTTGATAAATTTAATAATTATAATTAAATTAATATTTTTAATAAATAATTTAGTTATAATGTTTGAAAAGTAACAGATCCAGAAGTACCCAAAGGAGTCTAAATCAAAAATTATTAATTATTCAAATATTTTTAAGTACCTTTTATTAACATCGCACAATGGTTGTATTGCAGATTTTCTGGTAAACTGTATTTGTTGTCATAAAAACATTTCAAAGTTCAGACAAATAATTTAAATTTTTTCATATCAATGGTATATTTGTCACTGTGTATAGACAATGCCTGTTTGACCTCTGATTTAATGTAATAAGAAAAAAGGCAGACAAGATCCCGAATAGTATTTGGGGTCAAATATTCAAGACCGATTAATATTCAAATTTGAGAAAAGTGATATTTGCCCATCACTAGTACTTATTATTAATAAGTTAACTTTCAGAACAAATAATTTTATAACTAAATACTGCAATAATTGATTCATTAATTTAAACTATATTATAAGATTGTTAATGCAAATGTAATTAATTTTGTTTTTTTTTTTTTGGAATTATATAGAAGTATTGTTGCAATTGCCGGAGAAGACTTTGTAGTAATCGCTTCCGATATGAGATTGACAACTGGATATTCAATTTTCAGTCGAAATCAATCCAAATTATTTAAATTGTAAGTTCATTTAGAAATTGTTATTTTGTCAAAATTTGGTTTAAGTGTTTGTTCATTTATTTTTAATTTCTCAGGTCTAATAATGCAGTTTTAGGAACCAGTGGATGTTGGGCTGACGTCTTAACATTTCGTAAATATCTGGAAGCAAGAACTAGGGTAATGTTATATTTATGATGATTAAAAAATTGATGAAGAATATCCTGATCTTAAGATCTAACCTAATTTTAAGTTTAGAAACATTTTAAATTTAAAACAGTGCTGCAATGATGACCAAACTTTTCAATTGGTGGGCTAAATTGCACATAAGTTGTGGATCAGAGGCCACAGATGTTTTCTATATTCCATATATACTAAAAATAAACCTATTTCTATCATTTATAAGTGATGTGTCAAATATGTTTGCAGACAAATTTGGCCCAGGGTTGTAGTGTGCACTAATGCAATAAATTCATGATTGGAATTAATTAATTTTAAAATTAACAATAAAAATAACTTTTCACTTACAGACAGCCGCATGAGTTTGTTTCAAGGTTAACCCATTTAGATGATACTTCTGCTAATTCCTTTTTTAAATTGAGGTGGAGACACCCTCTTACCTTTCACAGAAGGGCATGTCCTGCTTTCATTGTCAATATTAAGGTCTGGTCAGTTGAATGAAATTTATTTGGTGGGGATAGTGGCTACGAATCATTCAGACACAAGGTATTCATTGCATGTGTGTTGTGGTGTATTGAAAATATTAAATGTTTGACCATTGTAATGTTGAATCAAAAATCTCTCAGCACTGTTTATAGCAGTGTTTCTCAAAGGGGGCGATATCGCCCCCATGTGGGCGTTTTTCCATGTTGAGGGGGCGATTAATAACAATTTATATTTTGGGAGGGCAAAAAACAATTTTCTGGGCGATATAGTAAAACATTATATTAAGAATAATTAGATATTTTATTCGTTACATCATACAATAATTAAACAAATAACATTATACTAGTCACTAGTCTATTCAATGCTGTACGAATTTGGCTCTCGGCATCGGAATTTTGAAGTGAAGGGGGCGTTAATGTAACTGTTTTATTGAAGGGGGCAACGATTCGTTAGAGGTTGAGAAACACTGGTTTATAGCATATATTCAAAGATAAAAATGATGTCTAAAGAATATTTCGTACACCTAATAGTTGGCAGATGGCCTATTATGCGGTTTTCTATACTTTTGCGCTTGAAATGATCTGTTCTGTTAATTTTTTTAGTGGAGACTTGTTATATGGCAGTATGTTGAGGTTTTGGCTGTATTTCTGTTAATGTTTATCAACCAATTACCAAAATAGACTTTTATTTTGTCTCCAACATTTTTTAAGAAACTTTGAAGAACTTTACTAAACCAGCAACTTTTCCATTATCTATATAACAGTAAAAGAACAAAATACAGATAATCTGTAACTGTCATTCCCTGCAGTCTTTTAATTTCAAGTTAGCAGTGGATTTCATAAAATTTTGCACAAATGTACAATGTATTACATGCATAATGAGATTTATCATCACTATTTGTACTGTGTGATCAAATGAAAAGAGGATTCATGAGAAGCAGCACAAGAGTTGATGGCATCCCCAAGTGTGGTGTTAACTTGTTATTGTTTAAAATAGTTATTGTGATAACTGGAAATGTTCATGCTACAAAATAAAGAACTTTCATAATGGAAAGTTATATAAAGAAAAGAGTTGCCAAAAATTAACATTCCAACATTTAAAGACAGCTTTATGAACAGAACATTTAATTCAAAGAACAAACTCATGATTGCTTTATGAAGTAAGAGTTGTTGAACTTTATTTATTTAAAGATTCAAATATCAAGTCTACAGTAAATAAATGTTAAACACTTAAGTGATTCTCATGGTGTGTAATCATCAAATTTCTTTCAAATCTCTTTTTAATTTGATCTGGTATTATCAAAGATTACATTATTTCAAATTTGTATAAATTAAAACCACTTGTGACTGAGGTGATTAAGTCATCAGTTTACTTCTAGGTTTGTTGTGTGTGTGTTGGACCCAATCCCTCACTATCTGGCCATTCACTATTGGTGTAAAATCTGTAATGGGCTTGAAAAAAGACCCTCTTAGCACTACTATAGCCAGGAATAAACCATTAGGGGATACAGGGGCAAGCTGAAAAAATGCTGACTGGGATTTTTCTTTTTCAGCCAGCCCTAGGCCTATTAGCTACAGTCCATATGTAAAAAATGAACACTTGACTAAGGTGAGAAAGCTTAGACACCTCATAGCTAGGTTCTGCCTCTTGGTGCCCTTAGGATAAAGATCCCAAAAAAGTTATAGCAGACTATGGCCCAAACTGTGATCAGTTATTTTCAAATTAGAAGCTAGAAAATGCATATTGTGAAGGGCCACTCTGCATTAGCCCACATCCAAAAACCTCGAATAATAGACCTCGTTTGCTATGAGCCGGGCATCAGTTCCTATGGGTAGCTTAAGGCATGATTTAGAATACGATTTTAAAATTTAATACGATATATTTCCCCCGAGAAAAAAATTATTACAAGAAATACAACATATATTAAAATGAACAATTATTTATTGTGACCTGGTTACAATTTTTAATCATATTTTTAATTTATTTAACTTAAAAAAGTATGCTCACCGCCTCAAATTAGTAATGGCTTGCCCCTGTATATCATACTTTTTCCTTTAACAATAGAGTTGTGCCAGTCATCTATCTAATACCTTTCAAGGGGAAGGTTTGAATTGAAGACTTGCGGTTTTCATCGGTAGTTCATATATAGTTAATCTCTTCTGCCCCTATGGTTTCCATATCTGGTCTTGTATTTCATCTAACTTTGTTCTTGAGATTAAGGAAAGACAGATGGCTAGATGACAGTGGGAATTTATAGATCTACAATTTTTTTCAAATTGCAGCCCAATAAAGAACAACCATTGAGTATATGTCTCAGTGGACCAGTCCACTACAGATAGTAAGTGACTTTAAAAGTACCATCATAGCATTTAAAAAAATTAACTACAAATTCTGATATCAATATCTATATGGTTAGTATTGCAGAAATTCTTAATAGTTTGTAAACCCTATATTAGCAAAGTGAGGCCAAAGTTTTCAACGCGAAAACATGAACATCAGACGTTCAGCACTGCCTTCCTGTAAGCCTAGAGGTTTGACAATGGCATTTGGAACATTGAGCATGATTCCACTGACGTTCCATATGCCTTTGTCAAACTTCTAGGCTTACAGGAAGGTGGTACTGAACATCCAACATTCACATTTTTGTATTGAAAACTTTGGCCGCAATCTTGCTATTAAGTAGGTGGAAAAACTGCATAGTCCAAAATAAACAAATATGTGTAGTCTTTAACCAATATCCGATGTGAAAATTCCAAACTAATATTGGCAAACGCTTTCGATGCCCCTCCTGGGCTCTTCTTCAGGCCAAATTTATTGTACTGGATTCTTAAATCGAATACTTTTAAATAAGAACGTGCTCTGTTACTAGAAGTTCAAATAAAGAAGGTAATCACGTGCCTTTCCGAATTATAATTTCTTTATAATTTATATTCGTGGAGATATGTTGTGTGCTTCTTATAATAATCTCGCGTATTTTTATAATCACATGCCGTTTCTAAAAATAATTTTAACTAGTGGATATATGATGTGCGCATCCCATAATAANGGTAATCACGTGCCTTTCCGAATTATAATTTCTTTATAATTTATATTCGTGGAGATATGTTGTGTGCTTCTTATAATAATCTCGCGTATTTTTATAATCACATGCCGTTTCTAAAAATAATTTTAACTAGTGGATATATGATGTGCGCATCCCATAATAATCTGGTGTATCGTATAATAAATTACGATTCATCGTCCAATAAATACTGCCACACTGTTGAGAGATTCATTTCTTCTTTAAGATTGATGCGGGTTAATTTGCGATCTGCTTTGTAAATTTCCATTGCTTCCAAAGTTCTTAGATGTTCCTGATGACGAGTGGTGTGGATGACCCGTGCCTCATTAAAAATCGGGGTTATGTCTGGGTTTGTTGCATATGTCGACAATGCTGTCGTATATTTTTTGTGGGTGATGTCTGCTTTATGTTCCTTTATTCTAGTGACTAACGGACGTTTAGTGGATCCTATGTAAATTAGTTGCCTTTGCCATCTGTCATCCATTAAGCGAAGACAGATGGCAAAGGCATCTAAGATGAATTGTAATTTATTATACAATACACCAGATTATTATGGGATGCACACATCGTATATCCACTAGTTAAAATTATTTTTAGAAACGGCACGTGATTATAAAAATACATGAGATTATTATAAGCGCACAACATATCTCCACAAATATAAATTATAAAGAAATTATAATTCGGAAACGCACGTGATTACCTTCTTTATTTGAACTTCTAGTAACAGAGCACGTTCTTATTTAAAAATATTCGATTTAAGAATCCAGTACAATAAATTTGGCCTGAAGAAGAGCCCAGGAGGGGCATCGAAAGCGTTTGCCAATATTAGTTTGGAATTTTCACGCCGGATATTGGTTAAAGACTACACATATTTGTTGTATATGACCCAGTGTGGGAGAAATCCTTGATAAACAAATAAACTAAACCTTGACAAATCCAGCTACAAATTGAAAATGTTTTTATTTCAATAAATTTGTAACTGGATTTGTCAAGGTTTAGTATATTTAGGATTTAGTATACCAATTGTTCTAGAATGGAATTTCTTGATCTTTTTGTCATAGGGGTTAAATAAATTTCTCTTAAATTATTTTCAGATGTATAAATTTGAGCATAATACTGACATCGACACCCCAGCTTTGGCACAACTGATATCAAACATGTTATATTTCAAGCGATTCTTTCCATATTATATAAGCACTATTCTGGCTGGCTTGGACGAGAATGGTATGTTTTAATTTTTTAAAAATATTATATAAAATCTTCAGATAAATATATAAAATTACATTTGAAATGTCATTTAAAAAAAGGTAAAGGATGCGTATATCATTACGATCCCATTGGAAATTTTGAAAAAGCAATTTATAAATCTGCAGGCTCGTCTAGTGCATTGCTGCAACCTCTGCTCGATAATCAGGTATTTTGTGTATAATTTTGTGTGTGAAATGCCATTTAATAAATTATTTTTGCATAGTAGCATTAAACTCTACCTTTACAGATTGGCCGTAAAAACATCGAGGGTGGTGTCGAAACAAAACCGTCTCTTAGTGATGCTGTTACCATTATCAAAGACGTTTTTCTCTCTGCAGCAGAGCGGGACATTCACACCGGTGACGGTGTAAATTTAACAGTTATAACTCCCGATGGAATTAAAGAAGAAGTGTTTCCATTACGTCGTGACTGAACATTATTAATTTTTTTATGTTAAAAATTCCATTTATAAATAAAAACTTATTTGAAAATTTACTTTTTTATTTTTGCAATATCATATTTACTAATAAATTGAATTCCGTCTTTATATTTTCCAATTTGACAATTGAAATTCTTAATGCCTTTCTTGTTTTTCCTCCTCCTGAAATAAAATAAATTCATTAGTTTTATGTATATTTTACAATAAATGTTGTATGATAAACATTTTTGGATATTCTACTTACGATTTTTTATTTTGCTTTGAACCGAATCCCACTTTCTGGTTCTGTTCAGGGAAAAAAAATATTCTTGAATCTTTGCTATTAGTGTGCAAGTAAGGCAAGTTTTATTTGATATGGCACTAGAACCACAATGCCCAACCTGTAGCTTGTGTATTCAGATTTATCGCGTTTATTAAAAATAAAATAGTTTTAAAAATTATACATAAATTAATTTTTATTAATTTTTAAGAAATTAGAAATATAAAATAACACAATTTGTATTTACAGTTACATTTTATGTCATTTGGATCAGGCCCAGTTCCATTTAAGCTGGATAAATGTGGTTCTACTGTACATGTTATTATATTCAGCATTAATTGCACTTAACTATTTAATATTTAGATATTTCAAAATGCTTTTATATAAACACAGAATCTAGTTTAAATATCATAATACTGTAATGTACAAAAATACTAACTCTCTTGTTTTGTTCAGTCTCTTCAAGCTTCTGTTTTTTGTTTTCTTCTAAAATTTCCTTATAATTTTTATATTTTCTCTTAGGAGGCTAAAAGTGGTATAACAAGTTTTAATATTAAAAAGATGCAAAACTATATATATATGAGCAGAATAGCACAATTTACCTTAGCCCCTAATCTGATGGCCAGAGCTTCTCTGGCATTTTCTGCTTTCTCTTTGTCAAATCCCGAAATGCCAAACCTGTAAACTTCATAACGTGCTTTCTCTATGTCAATGAGTGATTTTGGGTCTTCAGATACATCCGAGTTGACAGTTTTTTCTTCGATATCCTATGAAAATTTTAAAAATAAATACTTTAATAAAATACTCCGAAAATACACAAAATAGTTTTTAAATTTATCCGTAGAATTGCAATTTTTATATTGTGAATATATTGTTTATTTAACACTTCACTCATCTGTAACAATGCAGTGCGTGATCAGTTAATGAACATGATTCATTCCAAGATCACGTTCACTATCCGAATTGTTTGTTAACCATTTATCAATTTACCGTAGATTTTTGTGGAAATTTGATTAATTCATTTTGGAGAACCCAAAAAATAGTAAGAAAGCATATAAGTTTTGCTTTTATTTTATTTTACATGTCAATAAACATAAATAATCTCTCCATTTTTTCATGAATTTGTTTCTCAGATGCGATACAACTGTGAAAGTCTCATTCCATAAACCATGTATAGATGCCATTAAAATATAGTTTTACAAATCTTAAATGCAGCATTGCTTCTTGTGTTCGTTATCTGAATGTAAAAATCTTTTCCGAAAGTGTTCATTGTTTGATTTGTTTGCAGTCCGAATTGTTTGTTAACCGATCACCCCCTGTATTTCCATTTACTTTTGAATATACGGGATGCATAGTAAAGTTCTTATATACACTGATGTGTGTGAACAATGCACAATATACAACAGTAATGAATATAGCACAGACACGGGAATATGAGATGTGCACATTAGCATTTCATACTTTCTATCTATGCTGTTCATGTATACAGGGTGTACTTTGTTACTAAATCAATCTCTACAACTTTGTAATTGACTTTTTCCATATAATACATCATTTTTTGAGATAGCCACACTGCCACAAGCACATAATTATTCTATGACTATACATCATGTTCATCATCTATATGGATGTAAAAGGACTTTACCATAACTATATATATATATAACAGGGGTAGCCAACCTGCGGCTCTTTGAAGGATTATTTGTGGCTCTCGATAAATGTTCCCGAGTTCCCTTTTCATTTTTGTGTTGTTATATTTTAAAAAATTATTATCGTTTGTATGTGTTTCAAAATGTCTTTTAAATTACTAACAACAAATATGAAAGACTAAGTGCAACGTTGTAACAAATTTTATTACCGTCCAAGTTAAGAATGATATGACTCATCGAAAACTGCGTGAACAAACATAAACAGTGGCGTAATCGTCCGTTATCGACTGACTTCAGACCAATTTTGAATTTGTAAACTCTCATTGCAATGGACAGTTGACATTGTGTTCTGGAGGAAACAATTTGTATCACTCTTGCTACGGATATAATTTGTAATCTGGAATTTTTTGCATACCTTTTTAATGCGTATTTAATTGCGGCTTGCGAAAAATTTCAAATTTTGAAAAATGGCTCGGACTATCAAGGAGCTTGGCCACCCTGGATATATAACTTTTTGATGGAACATAAAATGCTTTCAAAAAGATTACATTTGAACCAGCAACTAAAGTCAAAAATTTTAATTAAATTCAAGACTGCAGTATTGCCAATGCACTTAACTGAAGTGACAATGGGATAAACAGATGCCATACAACATTGTTCATGCATGTTATTCATAAGCAAACTAACTTTGTTGCAAACTATCTTAGGTTGTCATTAACATGAAAATATATAAACATATTTTGGCTTTTCTACAGTTATCAAACTGACAAATTTCTCTTGACTTTAAATATTACAGGTCTACAAAAAATCAAAGTGAACACTTTTATTTTGCTATAAATCTTACATTTAATTGTTTCTTAATGTGTTCACCTTTTGCATAATATATACTCCTCACTATGTAGGCAAGCCTTTTAGAGCCTGATCTATCATCTCTTGTGGGACTTTTGTAATTTCTTCCTGATTGACACATTTTATCTCTCTACTCTTTATTTCAAGTAACCTCAAAAAAATATAATTGCAGGGAGCAGTATCAGGACTATTTGGCAACCATTGTGAGGGTTTGATAAATGCAGTTTGCTTTCCTATAAATGGATTTGTAGCCTTTGCCATATGTGAAGGCACAGAATCCTAATGAAATACGAAGTTGCCATCCAGAAACAGTCTTTTGGCATTTGACCGGAAGAAAGGATATAGGATCTTCTTGATGTAGTATTTTGATGATACTTTTGCCCCAGGATTCACAAAATTTAGCTTTGTTGTTCCTGTAATTAATCAGGCTAATATCTGGAAGAAAAGAACTAGCCAGGAGTGGGACTTGAACACAATCCAAGCCAGTTCGTTTCTTCCAGAATGCTTAATTATAATTTAATTCTCTATTAATTTAAATTATTTAATTAATTTACATAAGAGATGGCACCTTAATGTCTACCTCTAGTACCAAATTAGTTTCTAATTATTAATTATAGTATAATAATAGCCTGATTATTTATTGGCTTAGTATCAATACATTGGGCTTCAGGATGTTATGTATTTGTTGTTCCCTTCACAGAAATTGCAAACCAAACCATAACCATTAGCAGATGAGATGCTGAAGTTGATAGTAGTGCTTCATAGTGATTTTGGCTCCTGTTAATGTAGCAAACCTTCATCTTGCCTCGAGATTTAGTGAGATAGAATCAAGCTTTGTCAGTTTTGATAAACTTTTTCCACCTATTTTTCTTCAGCATGTAGCAGAATGGCTAAGATCTGCAGTATCTGTCCTGGATGGATGCATTTGGAAGTTCATGGCATGCAGATTTCTTGACAAGTTTAAGGCCCATTTTCTTCAGATTATTATTGGTTACTTGTTGACTAACAGCAAACCTTCATCCCATTTCTAATTGCGTTGTTGGATTCTCCATACTGACCATAGTCTTTAGTCTCTGTAATGTTGTCTTTGGTAGGATATATTTTCGATCACCACTGCTTTGCTTTGATCCTTATCTGGATGCTCTCTGCTTATCATTTTAAATGTTTGAAATCTGTCCAATGAAAATGCATTGCCGTTTCGTCCTTCAATTCTTCTGAACTTGTCTGAAGGACCACCCAAGTTCTAAGAGTCCTAATTATTCCAACTATTTCATCACTTATTTTCATATTCACTATTTTGTCCTACATAACTGATCTGGACACTTTCTACTATTGCTAGACTTTCTACTATTAAATCATTCTCACATCATTATCCAAATCACTTTCATTACTCTACAACATTCACTTAAACGTGTTAATTTTGATTCTTTGTAAACCTGTAGTTTCATCCTGATTTAAGAGATAATAAGTACAACTCCCTACTTTTACAATGATTAAATTCTTTCTTCTGCATATTGGTTCTGAAACTAATGAGATCTATGAATCACCTTTAAAAATAATATATGCCATATACTTGTGTGTGTATAATCATCTGGATCACAAATCAAACAAATGATTTATGTACTGTACATGATATCATTGAGAAGATTGAACATTCAAAATGGCAATGGACCAGATACATTGCTAGAAGACAAGACAACAGATGAATTACAAATACCCTAAACCTGTGGTTCTCAATCCAGATCCACAGAACACAGGTGCTCCGCGAAGTCACTTCAAGTGTTCTGCAAAAAAATCAAATATACAATTAAAAATTGTATTGATTTTTCTTTTGCAACAATGTAAAATAATTTTTGTATGGGAATGTAATTAGCAAACGCCAATGACATCATATACTAGACCGAGTGGTACAGAAAATGTTCAACCGATAAAGTAACTGTGTGTCCATTTGCATGTTGGTGTGCCTTGGGAGTTCAAATTTGAGCAGTCAATGTGGTTTATTTCACTGATTTCCAGTAATTGTAATGATTTGACTTTTTTAATCACATAAATTTACATCATATCAATTAATTTTATATTTTTCATAAATATTTTTTATTAAAGGTAATGGACAATTTCATGATAAAGAAATCTTGTCTTAATATCAATGATGACAATGCCACTCCTAACACTAGTAGAATTGAAGACGATGCAGAAGAGATAAAAATTGTGAAATCAACTCGAAATGTCAATCGCTCGTATGACAAAGAATACTTAAAATTCGGATTTACCTGGACTGGAAATACAGATTGTCCAACTCTTCTCTTCATTGTATGTGGAAAGAAACTTGCCAGTAGTGCAATGATGCCCACTAAATTAAAGCGTCATTTTTCAACTGAACATAAAGATCTTTCATCAAAAAATAAAGAATACTTCAAAAGTCTTTGGAAATGTAAGGTAAACAAAGAAGACAATTTGAAAAACAATGAAAGTAAGTGATAAAGCTCAACTTGTGTCATATAAAATTGCTGAGTTAGTAGCATTAAAATTAATGCCACACACAATAGCAGAATCTCTCATTTTATCTTCCTGCTGTGAAATAGTGACAATTATGTTTGGGGAAGAAGCAAAGAAGGAAATTTTGAGGATTCGGTATCTGATGATACAATTCACAGAAGAATTAATGACATGTCTGCAACATTGAAAGAACAGTTGCAGGTGAACTTGTTAACATACCCTTTGTGATATAAGTGGCAAGGCACAGCTCTTAGGCTTTATACAATTTATTTATGAACAGAAGATAATTAATAAATTTTTATGCTGCAAAGAACTTTTGGGGTGTACAACTGGCCTTGACTTATTTGACGTGATAACCTTGTATTTGAATATGTTAAAATTATCATGGGATCAATGTGTTGGTATTTGTACTGATGGAGCAGCATCTATGATGGAATTGGTCAAAGGATTTGTGGCGTTAGCAAAAACAATCAATCCAAAAAATAATATTTCATCATTTTTTCTTGTACCGAGAAGTACTTGTCACAAAGACAATGTCTAAGAAACTAAATGAAGTATTGGATCAAGTAATTTCCATGGTTAATTATATTAAAATGAGACCGATAAAAAGCCAAATTTTTTAAAAACTTTGTTCATCTATGGATGCAGACTATGAATGTTTACTTCTTCATACAGAAGTTAGATGGTTGTCACATGGAAAGGTTTTAAATTGTGTGTTGCAATTAAGAAATGAATTACAGGTTTTTCCAAGCAAAAAAAACATGAAACTTTTGGAGAATATCTAAAAAATGATAATTGGTGCAATAATTTGTCATATTTGGCTGATATTTTTGCTTACTTTAATACTGTCAATATAAGTATGCAAGGAAATAATGAAAATATTCTTACATCAACTGACAAATTATGTGCAATGAAAAGAAAACTTTTACTATGGAAGATATACATAAGAGAAAGAAACACAGAAATGTGGAGGGCTACCCTTACACCATCGTGAGCCCAGTGGAGCCCCTAACACAATGTTCCCTTCTGTGCAATCAAAATACAATACAAATGAGGCAATCATTTCTTTAATAATTAAACATTTAACAACAATACGAGAAAATTTTGAAAAATATTTTCCATTGTTAAACACTGAACAATATGATTGAATAAGAAATCCATTTATTTCTTCCGATTTCTCCACTTTTACTCTGAATGAAGAAGAACTGACATTGCTCTCTTCAGACTGTGAATTAAAATTGAAAATACTCCTGAAAAATTCTGGATCTCTGTTAAAGATGAATACTCAGGCATAGCAAAAAAAGCACTCAACACATCATTATTTTTTTCCACATCATATCTTTGCAAAGCAGGATTTTCAATGATGGTTAATATTTAAACAAAGAAATGCAAGAGCCTAAGAAATTTAGAAGTGATGTGAGTGGCTTTATCATTTATTTGTCCCAATATTGCTGAAATCTGCAAAGATAATCAAGCTCATGTATCACATTAAATTTGATTTTTGTAAGTACAGTGGTACCTCAGGATATGAACGCCCCAGCATATGAAATTTTCAGGATACGACATGAAATTCGAACATAATTTTGCTCCACGGTACAAACAAAAACTGACCATACGACGTTACATTAGTTCATAGTGCCATTTTTTATTCACTTCTGTTCATTGGTCTCAGTCAGTGTGTTTGCTTCGTTGTGGAAGGATCTCGCTCGATAAAGGAAATCTTGAGGTATTATCAGAAAGTGACTGATTTTATTGAAAAAATCATCCCGCCATATTGCTGCTCGGAGTAATGACATTTGCCTAAGTCATTTTAGAAACATTTTAAAAAGTAGGCAAAGCCAAACCTCTTTGGATAGATATTTTATCAAGCGACCTCTATCCAGTGAAAGTGCTGGTGGAAGTGAAGGAAAGACGGCAAAAAGCAGTGAATAAAAAATTTTTTAAAATATATAAAACAGAAAAGTTAAAAAATTAATGTTAAGTTATTTTTAAGTTATTGTTACATTATGCTATGTAAGTTAAGTTTTAGTATCATTTTCACTTCTCCCTCTCCTCCGCCACCAGTTCACACCTCCACCGATGTCTATCCTCAAAGGTAAAGTGCAAATAAAACTACATTTTTTTTTAATCAATTATTATTCTATTATGGTTATTTATACATTTACAACTACAAAATGCATTTTTCAGTGTTTTTCTTACTAAAGTTATTTTTTTTCAATGTACTACTTAGCTTTAATTTGAGTGTGTTTTTCGTGTTGGAACGAATTATTTGGTTTTACATGTAATCGTATGGGGAAAAATGATTCACCTTACAACATTTTCATGATACAATCTCAGTTTCGGAAAGGATTAATTTCGTATCCTGAGGTACCACTGTATTGTAATTTTGACTGATTTTTTTAAATAAAAATGTTTGCATAAATCAATATCGGTACTTTATTCTTTTATAAAAGTAAAACTTTGAACAAGAGTGGCCAACCACGTGGGTGTTTATTCTTCAATAATGGAGTTATTTTTGCGAGCAATGTTCCTGTTTTCATTGCGCTCTTGATTTCAAAAAGGTTCACCACCCCTGCTTTAAAGCTGATGTATTGTAAGAGTTCCACAGAAAAAAAAATGTCAAAGTTTAGCATTCCCTGACTTCAAAAAGATTGAGAACCATGGCACTAGACCTGACTCCATGAAAGATCAAGTGACCTAGATGAAAACCCCAAGTATGACAGAATAATGAAGTAAGGAAAGTGGCTGGCACAATTTGGAAAACTAAAGCATTGGACAGAAAAATGGTTGATTATGATGATGTATGTTGTGTGTGACATATTAAACATGTTCTTTCAGGAAAGTGAATGACTTGTACACATACTAACTTGTAAGTACAACAACATTCCATAACCAAACTATGATTCTCTCAGTATATTTTTAGTAGTATAATAAAAATGCTTATCACTAAGTATATGCCTTTCAAACATTTTGCAGAATCCAATTTAGGAGACACTTTTAACATAAAAGTTTTTACTATTTATTTCACACTAACATTCACAAAGTCAAGACAACTCATTTTTGGGTACTCTTAGATTCTAAGTTTGAATTGCTGAGATGGAGAATGACATTTTCATTATAAATTGTTTACAAAAGATAAAGAGAATCTAAAGCACATTTAAACTCGAATTCCTTAGACAGTAGGAATATCCTTGCTATGTAAAGACATAGCAAGCATTACATAGTTGAAAATACAGGAGAATATCCAAATGTCTTGGCACTTGCAAAAGAATTCAGGATTGCACCTTTTTGTGCAAAGTGTGTAAGAAAGTCAGCATCCATGTACACCTGGTGCAGTGATAGTGATATGCATTTGCAATTTGTGAAAGTGATACACACTTTAAAGCTTGCAGTATTGGTTCAATCATCTGGATTGTCAAAGACTGTATGCTTTTTGTAGTGGAACAATAAATTAATATAAAGTTTTACTACAAATTGGGGAAAAGTTTTAGTGAGACTGAAAATCTTTAGGCAAGTGTGTGATGACAAAACTATATCACAAGTCAGAGTTTATAAATGGTATAAGAAGTTTAAGAAAGTAAGAAATCTGTTGAAGATGACTCACATCCAGGCAAACTTGCCACAGTGCAAAACAAACAATTGATCAGATTTGAGAGGAAATTAGATATCAATGTTGACAAAAATTAACATTTCCCATGGTTTGATCCACAAGATTCTTCACAACAGTCTCAAAATGCATAGTGTTTGCCAGCACATTGTTCCGAAGATGCTGTAAATAGACAATGGGTGGAATGATTTTTTTATCTTCAAAGAACTGATTGATACAGTTGATAAAGATCCTGCTTTTAAACCAGATGGTAACTGGGAATATGCTGGGTGGTGCTATCTGAATGATCAGTCTTTGGTGTGGAAGTTACTGTCCTCTATGCACCAAAACTAGTATCACATGAGCAGATCAAAAGGGAAATGCTTAAAGAGTAATACATAAAGAGTTTATCCTTGAGGATTGAATAGTTAATAAACAGATGTACTATACATTGCTATTCTGCAGTTTTATGAAAATCAATCAGGAATAAACACCCAGAATTGCAGGTTGCAAAATCTTGGATATTTTACCATGATAATTCACTTTCACATCACTTCCTTCTACAGCAATACATTGTAGATTTTTGTTACTTTGCAGTTGCCCTACTCTCCTGATTTGATTCCTATGGATTTTTACCTTACTCAAAGATTAAGGAGTCGATGAAGAAGTCTCATTTCTAATTGTCAGAAGAGGATACATCTTGTTGTGGTAGATGCACTCCAAGAGGTGCCAAAAAGGGGGTTCCAGGCACAGTACAGAGATTAGCAGAAGTGTGTTGCAGCAGACAGACATTTACTTTGAAGGATTTACATTGTATAATCAATTGTTACTAGACTAATAATAAAACAACTGCATTTTTCTCATTTTACTTTCCTTGGTTGTTATGTACATCATACCCCAAACTTATGCGATAGGTGGGACCGAGCAATAACCGCGTAAGTCAGGGTATAATTTTGCATATAAATACATACAAATTATTTTTAATTGGGGCCAGAGACTAAAGAAAACAATAATTTAGAAAAAAATGTTTAATAAACTCTTAGATAACACACATGTATAACAAATTAGGCCTATATTATTTTACAATTTTTCACATTTACTTGATTATTACGCCATAATTTTAACATTGTTTCCATCTCAGCAATAATACTGTGACATTTAGGAATGATGCTTGAATTTAAAGATTGAGCATTTTTCACAGCTTCGATAATTTTTTCTTTACCTTTTATAATTGTTCTGACCGACAATTCAGGTAGATCAAACTTCTTTGCCAATTCACAAATTTTCATTTTTGTATCGAAGTCTTTAATAATGTTAACTTTACATTCCAAAGATAAAGTTTTTCTTTTCTTGTTTGATGCAGAAGAATCAGTTCTACTTCGTTTGGATGACATAG